CAGGCGGGGGGGGCCGCCGCGGGGGCAGTAGTGGGGACCGCGTGACTCAGCACCAGAGGGGTTTCCCGAGAGTCCTTATCAACGCTGTCTCTCTCGCACTCATGCGGCGCCCGTACAGGTGCGAGAGAGACGGAGCGACGGAAAGGACTCTCAGAATCAGTGTGCTGCACTTGCTCGGCCAGATTCTTTTAGTCCCTTTCCCTTTCCCGGGACGATAGTGGCTAGGTCGGGTTTGGATATGAGGACAGAAGACAGCAGTTTCAGCAACTGCAAATTCAGATTCTTTACTTATCTTTATGCGCTGTGAGATTTAGCAGGATTGTTCAGTTGTGCGTGGGAGTACCGAGGGAAGTACCCTTTTAATGTTTAGGCAGAATTTGGTGCGTGTAACTTCACTGTAAAAAAATTCCGTACTTTCGAACGGAAAATGTACAGACGAATAGTGTTAGAAAAAGTGTTGTAATTTAGCAATGTTGCAGATTTTCTGAATGACCAAAAGTAGTTAACAGATGTTTGTAAACCAGTAGACAGCCTTATGAGCATCAATTTTTATTGTTGATTTAGTCTTAGACCCAGTAAAGTCCGACCCGCAGTAGTCGCTAAGATTGCCCGCGCTGTTTGTACACAGCAAAAGATTGTTTTAAAACAGCATAAGCCAGAAGAATAATAAGCAAAAAATTCGTCGTTTTTAAACAAGAAAACTTGTTTTCAAACAACAGCGTAGTGGAAGTTGGTAATTGTGTTGTCATATAACAACATCCATGATCCATCATCACGATCACCTCCATGGTCAGAGTCACAGCACACTTCCAATGAGCAGCTCCAGACAAAAAAATACGATTTCAAGAAATCCTAGGAGTCACGAAGTCAATATAGTTATTGTGTAGGAGTGTGGAGAAAGGAAAAAAGTTGTGTAAAAGGGATAGGGGGTGGTTTAGGTACGAATGGCAAGGGTATCAATGTGGTCGATGTGCCACCCGTCAAAATTTAAACTTGGCAACAAAAAGAAATCAAATGAAAATGCCGTAAAATTCGAAAAATTCCAATGCTAATGTATTCCACAGTGGAACATCTTTGAAGTCAATCATTATTAAAATGTTCGTGGGGGAAAGGAGGCAGTAAATTAACTTTCGCGGGTTGGCAACAATCTTCTCGGCAACTGCGCCCTTGCGAAAATAGCGAAGCCGAAAACACGAGTAGTCGCGCATTAAAACTGCCCCGCCATTGTTGCTGACGTTGAATTGTTTGGCTTGTTTCAAAAGGCGGTTCTCTAGTCATGTTTTCTTCAATTATGTGTAATAGTTCTCATTCACAACGTAATAACACCACGACGGTTGGTTTGACAAACTTTATAAACTCAGTAGGGATGGTTTCGAATCGCAGGTGAGTCTTGTTCGAGGAACATGAGCACTGAAAGTCGCGAGGTGGAGCGATGTGGTCATCGTGCTAACTGAATGAAAAGAAACATCAAACAAATGTTCCGCGCATGAGCAAAGACATTCCCATTAAAAATTTTCATCAGGCAGTGCCAATGAAAAGACTGCGTCCAAAAAACCCTCTTGTGCTATTGTTACATCTGTTCTATCACGGTCGCGGAAAGTTTTTTATTCGAACGTCCTTTTTCAAAGCAGCGACCGTTTTTGGGGTAACCTGTACACAAGCGAAAAGGAGCCATGCTATTGGTTGGGTTTGGCTCGGCTCCCCCTCTCTCTTCCCTTTTCGTTGACGAGTCGAGCTTTGCTATGGAAACAGTGATTTTGACGGCAATTTTCTCAAAATTTATCGCTAAGATTTCAACCATATTCCAGAATTGAAATCACGTCTCAGAATTCTACCAGTCTGCAAAATCTCATCAAAATCGTACAGAGAGGTTTCGACTTGCATAAGGGGCCACGCGATCAAATCCCAGCGAGGCTGAATCCTGGGGGATACTATAAGGCTACTTCGTGCCTAAAAAACACTTGGCCGGGGACCCCCTCAGATCTGGCTCCAACCCGGTTTTTTTGGTTCATCTAGTGAATACGAATTGCCGAAACACAAATTGGGCCGGATCCAACACCGATTGGCTTTTTGGCACGGGTCAAAAACCCCTAAAAATGGCTGTTTTTGAGGGTTTGGGGCTTTTTGGGATCTCCGAACCTGCCGGCTAAAAAATCTACCAATGTGGTTTTTCCGAAAGAAAAAGTGCGCTCTTTCGAATGTCGGGTCGCGCGAGGCTCTACGACGTCGGGTTTGGACGCTACGGGCTCTCAAAGTTGCTCAAATTCACTATTTTCACTAAAAATGACTAAAACAGATTCTTTCTCTCCGGAAGTCGATTGTGACTCTTCCTATCGGCAATCTTCACCATGCAAGGTATTTTTATACCTCAGAGACATATTTTGGGCAATGAAGTTACGTTTTTCTACCGTGGGGAAAGCCCACACAGTACATAGCGTACATAGCGCCTAGTGGGTAGGCAGCCCCCTTGCTCAGGCAAGTCGCGCGGGCCTGCCGCGTCAGGGAAGGGGGAAGAGGCTAGAAGGAGAGGGAGGGAGGGTTCGTGGGCGCTGTGAGGGAGTAAGTTTGAACTAACAAAATTATCTTTTCCTTTTCATAGGCAACTCGGGCCATACTTTATTACGCGAAAGTGCATCTTAAATCTTCCTCTACAAGATTACACGATCACTTTGTCACGCCGGCTAGCTAAACTGGGTGGAGGGAGCACACAAAAATACAGTTGTTGAAGAAGGGTCTCATCCCTTGTAGTGCTGTAGTTTGGAAACGAACGAATTTTGAGAGAGGGTGGGGTGAGTAGGCCGGTCGACTTTAAATTTTCAAAGGGCGCCAGGCAACGCCAGGAATCTAAGTGATATCTACACACTTAACAGTGTACCAAAAGAGGAAAATACCTGACATTACCGCCGACCGGACTTCCCAAACAAAAGCAACAACAACAATTTGTGAGAAAGAGAATAAAGATATATTCTTGGAAAACTTTGCAATATTTTGTACAAATCTCAAAACCCAAACGTGGGGCACGAACCCATAAATAAAGCTAAAGTTTATCAGCAAGTATATTTAGAGAATATTGAGAACACGAGACCGCGGAAATCTACAGTTTATAATTTACACAGAAATTAATTTACATCAAGAAATAACAACACCCGTAGGAGCACACGATTTTACGTTATACAAACAACAACTAAACGGTAGCTCAACCGCTGACGGGAAGTTAATTAGCAAAATTAAAGCTGTAGTTAATTTAAGAAAACGCGGCTCGTATTTTATTGAATGTGACTAGAGTGAATTACGTAATACAGACGGTACACAAAAACGTTAGAAACGGTACAATTAACGCAAACTCGCGCTAAATAATTTAAGAATCACAACACCGTAATTTACTAAACGTTTACCGAGCAACAACGCGCTATACACAGCGCAATAATAACACAACTAGCACAAACAACGACAACAACAGTACACAAAAACACAATATACCTTTGGGCAAAGGGAAAGAAATAATCAGAGTGCACTCACCAATTGTTGAATGAAGAAGTAATCCAAAATAAAGGCGATCCCAGGCGTCCCCAGGTCGCACACACACTCACACACTTCACATTTCACAGTGTGAGAAATCAAAACAAACACAAAAGAAAATGAATCAAAGGCAGCGCCAAAGCGTTCAAACCTGATTCAGAATTACGTCACATGGCGTAACTTGCACCACTTCACTGAATGCAAAACACTGAGCACTAGCACTTTTCACAAGCAGGAAAATAGAGGAGGGCACTCGTTGACGGAGGCCGCCGAGAAGCAGCGAGTGGCCGCCGCCCAGGCATGGCGGTGACGCAGCGCTTCGGCGTGGCGAGGCGGCGCGACGCACGACGCACGACGCACGACGGCGGGGCGACGAGCTCGGGGCCGGCCAGGGCGTCGCCGAGGAGGCCATGGTGAATGGGCGCAGCGCATCACGGACCCGATCATGGCGAAGGTGGAGAGCAGCAGCATGGTGGTAGGGGCATCAGGCGGAACGTCTAGCCGAGCATGGCACGTGTTCCCCCGGCACTCGAAGCCCTGGAGTACAAAAATGCTGGGTAAACAAACAGCTTGGTCTCCACAGTACCGTGTCGCGCTGGCCGGATGAAAGCGGTCCACACCTTGCGGGCAGATGGTTGCTGGGGCAGTCCATGGTCACGACAAGCTTGGCGTCGACGAGGGTCTCGGACATCGCGGACGAGTCTTGGACACAGGCACGTTTGACGGTGTGCTGCACAACACGCGGTCGCTCTCGGTGGCGTGAGCTCCGGCTGCCGACGTCCGCGTGGATCAGCTGTCTGAACTTGACTGACTGCGCTTCGGTCTGTCTGCCTGTCCCCCGTCGCTGTTCCGTCCGCTCGCCCCGGCTCGGCTCGGCCGCCGGGCGACGGAACGAAGCGAAGCCGCCGCACTGAAAAAAAAGGTGTGTTGGTGCAACTCGAGAGATGGTTGTGGCAACCATCTGTTAGGGTTGGTTTTCGACGAACAATCTTACGGGTTGGCACAACCATCTGAAATGCTTCAGCGTGATGGTCAGTGCAACAAAGTGGAGATGGTTGGAGCAACCATCTCGGCGGACACACTGACCTGCCTTATGAGTTGATAGAACTGAGTTTACTGTTCTCAGAACTTTCTTAATCTTTGTGTGAACGTTACTCTTTTGTTGGGGCAAATAACAGAATTCGCTGTAGCAAACGATTTAGTTGTTTGGGGGAGCTTATCAGGATTGCTTGACCCAAACTATTAGTTCAGTTGTGGTAAGCACCCTTAGGTTTCAGAGGAACCCATTGTGCGTGTTGGAACAATCACATGAAATCTTTGGAGCAATCATGCGACTAGCTAGGGGAGCCTTGTTAGGGAATTGAGCTTGCTGTAATTATGATAAGCCAAAATGACACAAAGAAAATTTATTTACGCACAGCAAAAATAATTACATAGTAACAACACCTTCAATGACAGGAATAAAACTAACAATAGCACAACTTACACAGCACAACATAGCACAACTTACTATATTGTTACAGAGCAATAAAACTAACAATAGCACAACAGTATTTTACAGTATTTACACAGTAAATTTCTGTATCAGATTTTCAGTATTTACTTTAAAAATGAATTAAGAGTAGTTTACACATCATAACGTAAAGCTACAAACTTTTTGCCGTCTGAAAATTGATGGTAAATGACAGGGGCGTGTGAAATTAGATCAGATATATTTACAAATGTACTGCTATCAAGGTCAACAATTTCATAAGCAGCATAGTCTTCATAAAGCCCTATTGTTGGCGAGCGATAGCGAGCCCTTGCCGTGTTTGGGCGCTCCGAAAAGTGACTGGTCGTGCGTCTGTCTGTCTGTCTGTAGCGTACACGCTCACGTTTCTCAGCAACTACAACACTAATAGTTACCAAATTTTGCACCGAACATCCCTAAAGGTCCCACAGGGGGAGTTTAAATTTTAATTATTCAGGGGGTTTATTCGTTTAAAAATTTTTTCAACCCCCTTTTTGGGGGAAAAAGGCAGCGTGGTAAGGTTGGCAGCATAAAAGCAATTTTTTATATTGGGGGCGCGGTCTAAATAACGGGCTGGCAAAACCCATTGGCAAAAAAACAAAATAGAGGGGAGAAGGGCTTAGAAGTGATTCGGTCTTAGTTTTTCGATATCTACAATGATTGAAACCCCTCCGGAGTGTAAACACAGTGAAATACGGAAAATGAAAGTGACAATTTTTACGCGTTTCGTCCGTCCGTCCGCCCCCCCCTCCCCCGCCACAGGGGAAATGTTTTAGTCAGTGGAGTGTGTTTGATCGTTTGATAATTGCAAGAATGATTTGGTTTTTTTAAGTTTTGAGAGTGTATTTCCATTTTTATTCTCAGACATTATACTTTTTAGTTGTTTGCTTTGCTCAATAACAGTTAGAAAATAGATCAATGCAATCTAAAAGTACAAACCAGACACTAATCTTGCCAAAATAAATAGTCTTTGCTGACTCTTGGCACTGACTCTGGGGAAAGGCTTCATTGCAATGCTGTAAGTTTACTATAGTACTAACCTTAAAGAAACTATATGGTGAGTGGAGTAGCGCATACATGGTTTGACATTGACATCTGATTCAATGAGACGATTCAGTGACTTGGTCATATGATTTCATGAGACGATTCTTTTAACTTCATCATACATTGTCTGCGACAACTGGTATTTTGTGTCAGTCATGGTTTGAGTTGACTGTCTTTTTAATTTATTCACAATGTTAGGTAAATACTTATGCTATACTGTTTTAAAGATTAAATATCACATCATGACTATCATTATGAATAAGATTAACTTGCGTTTAGCAATAAGTGGGCTCGACATTGAATTCAATGGAACGATTCATTGGATCTGACAGAAGGTCTTCTCCGTAAAATAGTTGCAATCAGCCTGCCTGTAAATGTGTCTCTTTTAATGAATTGAGATAAATCAAAGAAGTTTCATCCACTAGTTTAAAATAAAAGGGAGATAAAAGGCTTTTTTGGTATTACTTATAACATTGTGTATTCATAAGTTCAATAACAAGGAGATATCGAATGGTAATTGAAGCATTTGTGAATCGTATGAAGTAATTCAATGCTGGCTGTTGAATGTTACTCGACTGAGTAACAGTGTTAGGGTTCATGTTACGACACAATGAACAGGAAACACACTTAGAAATTGCGAAAATAACTTCCAATTTCATCCCAGACCATTACTTTTCCCAAAATTTACCAATTTCTGAACAAAATTTTGAAGTCGAGTTCTACATAGTTTACTGCAGTTTTGGGTGTGCTGATCACGAAAATGACTTCCAATTTCATCCCAGACCTTGACTTTTTCCCAAATATTTACCAATTTCGGACCAAAATTTTTGAGTCGAGTTATACATAGTTTCCTGCAGTTTTTGGTGTGCTGATCACGAAAATGACTTCCAATTTCATCTCAGACCTTTACTTTTCCAAATATTTGCCAATTTTGGACCAAAATTTTTGAGTCGAGTTTTACATAGTTTCCTGCAGTTTTTGGTGTGCTGATCACAAAAATGACTTCCAATTTCATCTCAGACCTTTACTTTTCCAAATATTTACCAATTTTGGACCAAAATTTTTGAGTCGAGTTTTACATAGTTTCCTGCAGTTTTTGGTGTGCTGATCACGAAACTGACTTCCAATTTCATCCCAGACCTTTCCTTTTCCTAAAATTTACCAATTTGTGACCAAAATTACAAAGTTGAGTTTCCCTTTTTTTCCTGCAGTTTTCAGTAAGATAACCCGAAAATGACATGAATTCCCCCCTTTTTCGTGACGGAAGACACTGTTTGGCCTTTTTCTCCACAATTCTTCGCCATCTCCTATAAGAATGTGTTCAGACGCATCGCTCGCCTACTACGCGCCCAAACTAAACGGCGCGTACCCCTAGTGTTAAATTTTTGATAAATAAATCCCACATTGCAATCTTCATTGCAAATGATGCTATTTATTTTGCCAAACACCGGAAGACTGTGCACATCATCACTTCCAACATACACAATCATTCCAGGTCTGTATACTGTTCCCTTGAAGTCCACCCATGACGTCTCAACTAGGTTATCACCAAAATCTACTGGAATATCTAAATCTAACTTATCATAATGAGACATCATGGAGGAGGGGCCCATATCAAACCTTAAAGTAAACATATCACCACTCAGAAATTTAGAACAAAGCTGCAACTGCTCTTTGAGTGCAATGGTTCGAGCAGGGTCTCGCCTAGACGATGTTGAATTTGCTCTTTTTTTTTTGGGGTCTGTGCTTCTTTCAAACCTGTAAGAATTTAAAACCCAGCAAGTGGCCCGAATGTCTAAGAGCAGGGCTGAAAGTGCAACATATTATAAAATTTGCGCTTCAGTGTGTCATTAAATAATTTTATGTATAGTTTATGGTGCTGAGCTACCCACTCGTTAAGAGAATTTATACTCTCTGGGTGAAATGCAGGAGCACGAACAAATACTAAAATTTTTCTCAACATTAAATAATACTGCCAGACACTATAAAAAAGATTAAATCACCAAAAAGGGAAAGGAAAAACTAAAACGAAAGTAAGCATTTCTAAAAGCCGACATTCTAAGACGCTTTTCTTTTGTTAAATCTGATACAGAAATGTACTGTGGACGGTTCGTAAAGCCATTACCATAAAAATCAAAAGTTTTCATTCTCTCATTTAAAATTTCAAGGCCCACTTTTTTTCTTGCATTGTACACGTAGTGGTACACAACATGGTACATCCCATACTTACAAACTCCCTCTTCCATATCATGCATAATATCTAATGCCATATTATTATATACATTGTGCCCATCAATTTCGTTCCACACACAAGATTTCTTCAATCCTGACTGCTTTTTATCCTTGAGATACATCAGTTACATACTCATTTCCCTCCGGATAAGTTCGGTTTCTCATATAAATCTGTCTTCATGTCCTCTGAGGTTACCTTGCACACTGTACAGTAGTGAGTTGATGCAGCATAATCTTGCACAGAATTTTGGCCTTCATTGTCTCCTAGTAAAAATCCAAATGCAAAATAAAGCTGAATGTCCTCTCCTTTATCATTTTTTACAGATATACCTTCCTTTTGCAGATAATTGATCTGATGAACAACCTTTCTAAAAATCATTTCATTTGACAGTTGGTGGGGGTGGAACTTTTACGGTCCATTGGGATAATTTACTAATGCAAGGAAAAAATTACTTAGGACAGATCTTTGCTCTGGGGGGAGGCAAGCTATTGTAAATAAGTTCCTCCCAGTTTCTGCACACATGCTGTGAACCAAGAGGATTATTGATTTCAACTCATCATAAATAGAAACAAAGGCAAAACAAACTTTCCCTTGAAGTATTTATCCTTCTTGGCTTTCCACAGTGCCCCCCGAACAAAATTTGACAGAACATTTTTTTGGTTTTCTAAAGAAGTAACATAACTAAGTACTTCCTTCAAAACGTTAGGCAAAGAGAAGAATAATTGTAGCACAGATTTCATTGGGAATACTGACCACTGAGGGGACAAGACGTTTAACCAACCTCCCTTCGACTCGCTTATTAACAAGTTTTACCACCAACATCGTAAGGTTTGGGCTTAAAAAAGCTACCAACCCCCTTCCAAAATTTGAAGCCGTCGATATTCGTACGGTACTTTTGAAAAATTGTATTAATTTTTTCCAAATAACCAAAAACACACGCAAACAACTTGAGTTCTCAACAGAGTATGTGTTTTTTAGTTTGAAATATTTGACAGGCAATTTCATGAAATTAGGTTAGTCACATCAGAAACAATAATCTGCACGAAACTGCGAGGTAAATCAGGCATTCCATATAGCTTTGCTATAAAACACAAAATAATTTGTCTATGTGACTCTCCGCTGCCTCAGAGCTGTTAGTGTTTTATACTCTTCACTGTTTGCCTCAACATGGCTATCAACTACAATGTCATCAATTTGCAGTGGAGGTTCGTTTAAAAAAAAATTTTTGTTCTCTGAGAATTTTGGCACATTATGGTAAGACAAGTGTCTGCGAAACTCAGTCCACCCTGCAAAGTCTCTACCACATCCTGGCTGCTTACATTGAAAGTTGACAAAATTGTACTTGTGATTTAGGTTAACGTGAAGTTTGAGATTATGAATGCTATAAAGTTCGTGAGAACTTGGACATTTAGGACAAAATGCCATGGTAACAAAAATAGAAAAGTTTCTAAATCTTGACGGTACCTTAATGCTAATTATGTACAATATCTCATAGTAAAATCCAAACAAAGTGTCTACAACTATTAGCTGACTACAAATTTAAACACAGACTTAATACCAAAAGCTATACACTGACTCTTCTAAACCTCTCAACTTCTCCAATAACACCGGGAATGTTTAAATCCCAGTTTGTGCTGAGTTGGTACACAGCATGCTGCAGATACATCCAAGAGTAGGAAGACTGAACTGGGTATTTGGGAATGCAGAACTTGGATGATTTTAAAACAAGAGTCCACCGCTGCAAGGGGGCTCTCAACCTTATCCCAAAATGCTGTCTAGTATGACATAACAATCCTCTATGTCATCTGGTGTGGGTCCTACAATGCAGCAAACGGCTGAAGCTTTTGGGTAGACCTTGCCACACTTTCCTTTATCTGTTGCACTCTATCCGTAAAAATGCTGTTTTCGTAAGAAAGACATCAAACAAAAAATTAAACAAATAAAGGAATGCTTCAAAAAGAAGAAATAAGTATCAAAAAAAGGATGCAAACCCATACCTCTGCATGAAAAAGGGAAACCGTTCACACTTTCTTGCCTGTTTGGTTTCCAAGTACCCTCAATTCTCCTTTTGCAAGTTTCTTACCGTAGGGCACTGGTGGTTGCCTGAACAGAGATGGGATTGCTTGCAGCAGTCTCACATTTTCCCCTAAAAATAGAATGAAATCTCAGACAACGTACACTAACTGTCGAAATCACATTGCAAAATTTAATGTAAACTTGTAATACACACCAGCTTCAGTGCAACACGCGTCGGGGTGAAAACCTTCTGTAGAACCTTTTCTAGTTTGGCCACGATACTCGTCCATTTTCAAGCACATTCAGACAACGGTTGGCAAACAGTTCGTAAAAATCATCCATAAGCTGTGAAAACGAGTAAATAAAATAATTATGAGATAGACATTCAGAAAATAACAAAAGCAATTCTTATTCGGACTTAAGAAAAAAATAAAAAAACCCCCAAATCAAGACCCCATTGCTGCTTCAGGCATGGGAAATTGGGTTTTAAAACACGTCTATTTTTTCTTGCCCCATGCGGGCCTTACTTTTTCTGTCAACCGTGTTGAGAAGCATAGAGTAGCGCTTGGGACGGTTTTATGCCACTTGGCAATAGTGACAGACTTTTTCGCCAAGGAGTTCTTTTTTTAGATAATCCCAAAGGGATCATCCCCGTAAAAAAAAAAAAGTGCAGATAAAAAATCCAATGTGGGAAAAGACAATGCACCTCCGTTCACTGTAACACACCTCCAGAATCAGAAAAGTCATCTTCGTCTCCTTCATCGCATCGGGATCTCCGATTACTGGGCCCGAGGCCCTCTTGCCTCAGAACTCGGAGGAGGTTGTGGTACTTATCCACAAGCACCCCTTTTGGTTGCACAGCCGGAACCAACCCCTTTGCAGGCACCCTTGGGTGAAGTAGATTGCAGCATTTCCAGAGGGAAAATCTTTACGATGCACTCTGACAGAAAGGAGAGCCGTTTCTGCGAAATCCAGGGAAAAAAGGTTTTCCCAAATTTGAAAAAGTGCACTTGTTCGTTTTTTTCAAAATTTGCCAACAGATTAATACTTACGATTTTTCTGCATCGTTGCCCAGCTCCCCCCAAAACAATAGTCTCCGCCAACTTTACTCTGTTACTTTGGTCGAAGCTCCTTTTCCGTCCTACTGACAGGGGCACTTTTTCCCAAAGAGCCCTGGTTTCAAAAATTCTTCCACAACCTAAGAAAGGTAGAAAAAATTTTGAGAATGATGTGCGCAGCGTGCGACCGGCAAAAAATTTAAAAATATAAGTATAAAAACTTGCATTTGCTTCAGTTTGGGCTCGGCTGCTTTGGGGGGGGGTCTCCGTCTCGGACTCTG